GCCTGCCCTGCAGGCAGCAAAGGTTCCCTTTAAATGGTTGGAGGAAAGCGGAGGGGGGGCATGTGCACATGGCACAGCATCCTTGACCAGATGACGGCACTCTGTGTGACATCATCACGTTGAATGGCCCCTCTCCCTCCTGGCATGCCCCCCCCACAATCTCCCTGCTGGAGGGAAAATATGACCTGGTAACCTTACAGGGACCATCTCTCTCCAGTCTTGGCTCAACTACACTGGATCCCAGACTGTTTCTGGGCACAATACAAGGTTCTGGACTTAAAACCTTTAAAGCCATACATGGCTTGGGACCAACAGGCCTGAAGGACCGCCTGCTCCCTTATGAATCTACCCAAAAACTATGGTCATCTTCTGAGGCCCTGCCTTCTGAGATTAGACAGGTGGCAACCTGGTAAAGGGATCAGGCTAGCCTGGGCTATCCAGGTCAGTAAATAAGAGTTAAATGAACAGATACTAGTAGTCAACTGACGGCAGCACTGTGGCTAGAATACCTGCTATTGAGTATGATTCCTGGACTTCCTGGATTATAACAAGTGTTCTGTTAAACTTGGAATGCTTAAATAAAACAGTATTGCCTATTCAACTGGCAGTCTTAATACCTGCTTAACGCTGTGTTCCTGGCTTTTCACCTCCCAGTTTTGCTCTGGAGTCCTGACAGTTTCTATTTTGGAAAAGAGGGAAGACTTAAAGCTTTCAGTATTTTCTGCATCATCATTTTCTAGTCCATTCAAATCAGTTTCCTTGTTGTATAGGATGTCGCTTGTTGAGAGATCAGAATCCTAACTCTACATTGCTTCTTTTGTGATATGTGCTGAAACAGGAAATATTTAAACCAATGATAATATTTGGTTTCTTCATTCCTGTCTGTGACTTGAGATGGAAGCACACTATTTATGCATGCAAGGGGGCTCTGGGAAAATAGGTCACCCCGGGCATCAGATTTAAATACAATAGGAAAGACAGATGCCATAAATACCCCAAACATCATTGAGATAGTCTCAGTTAAATTTGACATTAAGGTCCCTTTTGAATGGAAATTGTTGCTGACAAGGAAATGCTTTATGACTCGTGAATTTTTGAAATTACAGTTACATCCCAAGGGGCAAGAATGTGAAGTTTATTGTATGTTTCTTCTCTCTTTGAGATAATTTATGCTTCCTAAACACACCTTGTGGGTTCGAGTGTGTGGCCTACGTAGCTGGCCTTTGTCTTCCATGTAGCATGCAATTAATAAAGGAAACCTGTGGCATGACTCATACATGGTGTTTAGATTCTGATATGTTGGGGAAAGTATCATGTGGACATCTGAAAGATGAAATTGGATATGGAGCCTGAGGAGGACCTTCACAGTGGCAGCCAGGGAACTCTCTCCCCAGGGAAACTTGTCTGTCCCCTTTTTCTTTCTTCTGGTGCTCCCTCAGTTACCCCACCCTTCCTGCCCTGTATTTAATTGTTGTTTTTATGTTTGTGTATTTTATTGTTTTGTTTATGTATTTTAACTTGATTTTAATTGTTTGAATTATGTGTTTTTGATTGGTTTTAATGATTTTTTAAAGATGTGTGTTTATTATGTGTGGTTTTTAATCTGTTAACTGCCTCAGTGGCACCAATGAGGGCAGGTACGCAGAGTATTGGCTGCACAGTGTTCTGATCAGGATTCAATGGGTGCGTTCAGACGGGGCGTTTCTGCCGGCATAAACTGCACCGGTTGGAATCGGTGCAGCTTATGCCGGCAGAAACGCGATCAGACTCACCCTCCATTTTGCGAATCCCTCCGTTGGACGCCCGCTCACACGCTGCGGGCGTCAGCGTTTGGGTTTTTTTAAAAGCAGTTTGAACATGCGCACAGGCAGCCATTCAGAGAATGGCGATTTTTGCGCATGCTCAAACTCCCCCTTACATTTAAACTTTAAAGGTAAGCACTTACCTTTAAAGTTTGTTTGTTTTTTTAATTTCCCTTTGGCCTGATCCAACATTGGCCTCTCTTATGTTCTTATTATGTTCTCAACCATCGGTGGGTGTTCCGTTGTCAAAACCGACTGGCCCTGCCCCCTCTGCATGCAGATATGAGGACCCTGGTTTCTGTCCAGAACTGACAGCCGGTCACACAAGGTTGGACTTTTCCCTGGCTCAGAAGAGCATCCGTTGAAATGGTCTCTGTTTGCTGTAGATGGCTGACACGCAGCTCCAGCCTCCTCTTTCCGAGACGCGCAGCACCCCCCCGCGCCTGCCTCCCGAGTCACCCCAT